CGCCTCCAACCGACCAGGCACGGCAGCCTGCTACGACACACAGGAAACACGCGGCAAGTCTAAAGGCCGAGCCGGTCAGCCAATTCGAATCCATGTCTCATAGCCTGCTTAGCAGACTGGACGGGGAGTAGGAGAGATTCCTAAGTAGTACTCATCGGAAAATCACCAAGACGCCTGTTCTAAAGAACAAGGAACTAACCATTTGAAGACAGACTGGTGATCTTTTGTAGCACAAATAGTTATTTTATCTGCGCTCAAAACATGAGGAGAGAAAAGTTAAATGATGGCAGGAACGTTCGGTTTTAATTGGACAACGGGAGCTAGGAGCCTCTTTGGGACCTTGATTTAGACATTCATCGTGTTGAGAATTAAAAAGCAGTAAGCAGGAGTAAGGGAGTGTTGGCGGAGCAACTTTGGAGACATGTTAGTACAGCACCATGAACCCTATGCGCATATAAATTCTGTCGTGTCTTCAGCTGCGTGAATTATCTTTTGTAGACTTGATTGGTGCTTTCACCAAGACCGCATGTCTTACATGTCTTGCTCTGTTGCGCTAAAGGATAAGAATATAATTATTTCACGCTATGAAGTTTAAGGTAATTTAATCTGAATACCCGATAATCAGAAACAGTATTGTTGTGATATATATTTGCCGCTTCCGATGCTAGGTATCCAGTAATCAAATGCGGTATTACATTGGGTGACCACAATACGATTCGTAATTTTTATATCCATTCCTCCCTACTCAACCTATTGTTCTTGAGTACGTTCTGAATGATTATTAGTCGTTTCCCGGCCACCGATAACCACTGTGAACTTCTTTAGACACACTTACATGCCACTGGCGACGTCTATTTTTATACCTATCGCAGTGTTAAGCAGTCGGCGCGGTGGTGTGCTTGCCAATGGACCTGCGAAGCAGCTAGGAGACCTTGGTTTGCCTCGTCGCGTAGGAGCAGTGCTGTTGCTATCTTTGCGATAGGCAACGCGATATCGCTGTCGTTGGGATGGGAGTGAAAATCCGCAACATGCGCAGGATCGGAGCCTATCGGCTAGGTCGCCCGTGCCCCCCAGTCGGATCGTATCCCTGCTTCACTTCCACGGACTGTGGAGCAAACAACTCCACCCGACTGACACAACTCCGCGAAAAACAAAATCTGTTCCACTACAACTATAACAGGTGACCAATGGATCGTTCCAGACACAGTATTGACGCCCGTGCCAAGAATCACCAAAACAAGGTCAATCCAAATCAACTTCGAGAACTAAAACCTTATTTATGTTTTCTAAACAATTGATGCTTCAAAATTAAAAACATGCGAAGTTAATAGAAACAAAACATCCGAATGATTCTAATATAACATTCACAATTTACAGACTCTGTAGCAACGAGAACTATATAATATTACTTTAATTCACCATTACCTTACATGAAATCTGAAGAAAATGGTCCAATTTATGAATTCTCAAAATTATTACAAGGAGTTATCATTTTAGTACTTTTTCATCTCCTACAAACCTTAATATACAAACCGTACTCCAAAGCATCCCTGGGAAGACACTACAAAGAAATTCGGGCTTCAAAAAAACCTCGCATGTTGGGACTCGATGTTAAAATGAATTCATAAGAAGACTCTGATAAAACGTATGGTTGACGCAAATGTTCATAAGTCTTCCGCCCGTCATCAGACCAATCACCGCGGCGATCACACGTCCAGGCCAACAAAAACCTCCACCAATCATAATAACCGATTGCAACCCAAGCTCGGCCACGGTACTCACCACACCCAATCTACCGTCATCCGCCACTCCCGACCACCAAACCGTTAAATCCACGGCAAACCTACCGGTCACGCCACCATATAACTAACTGCTGCTTTCACTGTCCGTTCCGCGCCTCCAAACGCCACCGAACTTTGACACTAATGCCGTCTCCCAAAGAGGCCAACACCAAGCCACA